CTTCTATTAGTTATCCAGTTCTCTATCTACGCTAATATGCTACCTTCAACGTCACAGGCTCTTATTAATTTGCTCAATGTGCGATATTTATCAAATGTCTTCTGAAAATACAAATTCACTGCTTGTCCAGAGATCGTGCACCATACACTAACACGCGATAAATATGGTTGTCCAAAGGTATCACAAGGATTAGCATATGGACCTCAGCTACTTATAATCTATGTTAATGACTTGGGTGAGGGTACACTGAGAATAACACATCCAAATTTGCTGACGAAACATGATTAGGTGGGAAACCATGTGGTGAGGAGGATGCAAGCAGACAACAGAGGAATATTAACTGGGGTGGGTGACAGCCAGAACGTAGCATGTAGAATACAATCTGGTAAAGTGTGACATTCATCAACTTAACTGGAAAGATAAAAAAGCAGAATATTTTGGAATGATGAGAGACTGGGAAACCTTTGCATTTAGTGGGATCTGTGTACATGAGTTGCAGTTACAGGAAGTAACTAGTTAAACAAAACAAAAATCATATTATGTTTTATTAAAATGGGATTTAAGTACGACAATAAAGAGGGCTAACTACACTTATGCAGGTGATTGGTAAAGCCATGCCTGGAGTGCTCATATGGTTTGGGTCTCCTTGCCTGTGGGTAGACATACTTTTTCCAAGAGGGAATACAAACAAAGGTCCACTAGACTGATTCTTGGGGTCAGAGAATTGTACTTTGAGAAGAGATTGAATTGACCAGGCCTATATTTCCAGATTTTAGAAGAATGAGATGTGATCTCATTGAAACAAACAGAATTCCTTCAGTTCAAAACAGGGTGCTTGAGGCCAAAACATTTCCTCTGGATGGAGAATCAGTGTTGGAGCAGGCTTGAAGGGCCAAATGAATTTCTGGTGCTCAGTCTGAGTTCCTCAGACTTTTTTGCAGCTTTGGTTCAAAATAGATGGCAGAGCTGAATTCAAGAGGTGATGAGAGTGACTGGCATTGACATCAGAACAGTACTTGTCCAAGTGTGGCATCAGGGAGGCCATAATAAAATTGAAGTCTCTGGGCATCAGAGGGAATAATTTATGCTGTTTGGAGTCATCCCTAACACAAAAGAAGTTGGTTGTGGTTGTTCAAGTTTAATCATTACAGCTGCAAGACATCTCTGCAGGAGTTCCTTTAAGGTAGAGTGTCGCAACCCCAACCATCTTCAGCTGCTTCATCGGTGGACTTCCTATCTTAAGATCAGAAGTGGGGATGTTCATTGATTGTGCAGTGTTCAGCACCATTTGCAATACCTCAGATACTGATGCAATCCGTGTCTGTATGCCGCAAGAGTTGTACAATATGACAAATGACATTCATGCCACGTGAGTGCCAGGCAATGAGAGAATCTAACCATTTTCCTTTGGAATTCAATGGCATGACTGTCATTGGAGCCCCAACCATTAACACCTTGGTGGGTTACCATTGACCAGAAACTGAACTGCTTGTAAAGTTGTTCCTATTAGCACTGTTACTCTGTTAGGACTAAAAATCTTGTTGATCATTGCATGATTCGTATTGGTGTTGTTGACAGTACTGTCGTATGGTTGCTGACCAGATTGGTACCATTTTGTCGTGTCCCCTCCTCCTTAGATTTCCCAGCTGTTCCTACTTGTGATCTCTCCCCGTGCTGCACCTCTGTGCGAGGTCTTCACCAAGGAGTGCCCCCCCCCCCCCCAACTCGCCCTCGTAATATTGCTCCACTAACACTTCCACTATCTCGCCTCTCTTCTCCTGCCCTCCTTCCCATGGGGCTCCAGTAATGCCAAACTCAGCAGCCCCCTTACCCGACTTACTCCCCCAAGACAGTGTTCTAAATGGCCCAGTGGCATACTGCAGTCTTGAACCAGTGTTAAAGGACAAATAAAATACTGAAGTCTATCTGGATTCCAGTGGCCATCATCCAACCAGACAAAACGGAACAGCACCCTCGCGTTTCCTCAATCTGACCACATGGCACTGGCCAGCTCCACAAAGACAAAGAAAGAGAGAGAGAGAGATGCGTCCAGGAACAAGTGATGGCCTCAGTTGGTGGCTTGGAATCTACTGAGAAGCTTCCCCATACAGTGCCAACCCTGGGCAGTACAGCCCCTAGCTCCACTCTTAAGAGGGTCCACCACAGAACTACTATAAGTAGAATGCTACATGAAAAATTATAATGGAAAAATGTATATGGTTATTTCATTTGCCAATCTAGAGTTTAGGCATTTAAAGTATTTCAGTTTAGATGATGCAGCTATTATGTTTCTGTTTTATTTTGCTTTTCAGATTACAGGGTGGTGCGAGCAATTCGTAATTGTGAGCAGATTCGGCAGCTCGTGTACATCTCCTGTAAGCCAGAGGGTGAAGCCATGAGAAACTTTATTGAGTAGGTAGCATTGGTGAATACTCGAGCACCGTGTTATTGCCAGGCAGCCCCACCCAGTCCCATTTAATTCAGTACACCCAGGATTTGGAGGGAATCTAATCACTTGGGCCAAACAAGCCTAAGAAAATAGTGCCTCAGGAAGCAAGGCATATACCTATCTGTAACCACCAGTGAGCCAGTTTGGTTTGACCAACATGGAGGGGATGATATGATTCTAGTGATGGGTGGTCACAGGCATGCATTGGGGTTGCATGATTTTGACAAATTCCGAACTTTGTCCCCTCGGCAGAAAGCCGACTGATCTGGATCATGGAATCGTAGAATCCCTACAGTGTGGAAACAGGCCCTTCGGCCCAACAAGTCCACACCGACTCTCGGAGCATCCCACGCAGACCCATTCCCCTATAACCCACCTAATCTACACATCCCTGAACACTATGGGCAATTTACCATGGCCAGTACACTTAGCCTGCGCATCTTTGGACTGTGGGAGGAAACTGGAGCACCCGGAGGAAACCCACGCAGACTCGGGGAGAATGTGCAAACTCCACACAATCACCCGAGGATGGAATTGAACCCACGTCCCTGGTGCTGTGAGGCAGCAGTGCTAACCACTGAGCCACCATACCACCCCAAAGCGAAGGAACTCATCGTCTCTGGGTGGGTCTCTGGATGTTAGCTACTTACCTAGACTAGAGGCTGAGCGAGGAACTGCATCGACTTGCTGGCTAAAGACAGGTGAGGGAAGTTTCCAGGACAAAAAAATAGGAAGCGCATTCTCGGTCTTCATTGATATACTTGAGAAATAACTGTGGAAGCAGTGATAATCTGAAATCTCCCACTGAGCCATTTCTAATCACTGTCCAGAATTTGGAAGGCCTGTACATTAGTTGAGAACAAAATTGAGATTGCTTTGATTGAGATTGCTGTGATGACCTGTGTTATGATACTACAAATTGTTAAGCTTCCAGGTGAAGAGCCATCAACCAGCTTCCCTCCTTCATTCACCCTTCCTCCTCAGTTGGTCAAGCATAATTTAAAAGCAGATCACTTCCTTTGTAGATTTCTTTCTCCCAGGCCCAAACCAACTTATAAAACATAAGTAGCCAATTTAACTAGGCTCTCTTCACTTAACAAAGAGTGATTTTATTTATTAAAAAACCTGAGAAGAATTAGAAATGTAACACATGCATACACAGATTAGAAGTGAGTTGAGTCCAAAAACGGTAAGTGTCTGAAAAATAGATATGTGGCTCACTTTCTGAATTGTTTGAGAAGAGCAGATAATTATGTGTTGTGGCTGTTATAGCTTATTGGTCATGTTAATGTTGGTAGTTGTACAGTTGCTCTCACTATCATTAATTTTCTAGAGTGGTTGAGATTCTGTTGTTCTGATTCCTTTTGACCATGATTGAATTCCAGCACTTGGGGTGAGAGAGAGTCCTTTTGTTGTACTGTTTCCACTTGTCTGGTTTGCAGTACTCATTGTGAAATGAGGATCTTTACCCACAGCATATTAATGTTTGAACACAGGCTGGTATGCAAAATAGGGTTCAGTCCCACTAGGGCACTCCAGTTGAATTGAAGCCAGCTTTTTAACCCCTGTCCTTGTGTATTCTTGCCTCCTCGGTATCTTTAGTTGCACGAGATCACAGCCCAGTCCGTTTTGAGTTGCCTCTCCCCTTCTGAAAGGTTGTTTGAATTTCTCTTCACATCTGTGGGTGTGAAATTTTATGGTCTCTGTCTGCATTTAATCAGTTAATTTACATCCACAGCCCTTTTTAACTACCAGCCATCTTTATCTTTCAAAAAGTTTTCAATTTTTTTTCAAATATTTTGGAATTACAACTTAAAGATGTCCACAGTACTTTGGGATTCTGACCTGTGGTCATGACCCTGTTAGAATTCATAGATAGTTGAAATCCCATTCCAGTTTGCAGTTGGAGAACTGTACCCCAGTTTAAGTCAGGACCTTCAGATGCTGCAGTGAAATTGAAAATAAAATCATTCAGTTGGAGAGAATGTGCAATATCCTGGGTTAATATTACAGCAGTTCAGGTGACTGAATCAACATCCTCAATCTCAGCATGAATAAATAAAATTCTCTGAACCCAAGACCTAACTATACCCTTCACCACCCAATCTCTAGACATTCTGGAATTCCCTCCTTAAGGGCATTGTGAGTCTGTCTGCACCAAATGGACTGCAGTAGTTCAGGAAGGCAGTTCACATCACTTTCTCAAGGGCAACTAGGGATGGGCAATAAATGCTGGCCCAGTCAGGTCACTGAATCCCATGAAAGAATGAAAAGAAATAAATACTTGGGAAGTAAATGCAGGGATGTGGAGAGAGAGACTAACAGGATTACTCTTCAAAACAGCTGTCTCCAAACACTAAAGTTCAAATGGCTTCTTTCTGTGCTATGCTAATCTGTGATTCTGCAACAAGAAATCCATACTTGAGAAAAATTAAATATTCCAGGAGGAAGAAAAAAAACTTATTATTTGAAATCAGGATCTGCCCTGAAGCAAATCTTTGAAGTAATTCCATATTTTATGTCAACAGAAGTGTTCATATGGGAATGAGTAACTCTAATCACAATTCCTAATTTTATTGGACCTGCCAGTATGTTACAGCCAATACAATGTAGTTGAATGGGCTCTAAGCTATAACTGTTTTTGCTCATTTCAGACTGTGCTGCCCACCTGACCAGCAGAAGAAGCTGTTCGGTGACCCCTTCACTCCAAGACTAGCTGTACCTGTGGACATGTTCCCACACACTTCTCACTGCGAGCTTGTGCTGCTGTTTGAGAGATAAGCCCGCACCCATGCTTTGAGAAAGGAGATTGGCTAGTAACTGTAGAGCTGCTGAAAACAATGTAGCACTGTTGCAGAAGTTAATCATTGGTCACTGACTTTGGAGCATGGTTTGAAATGGACCCAGTTTGACAGGTCATGATAGTTCCTCCATATTGGAGTGATTAGCAGTATTCTCATGAAGTTTGAAGTTCATACCTCCAATAAATAGCGAATGATTGTTTTTGCAGTTTTCTCTCCAAACTTTTAGAAGATGTTGTTGATTTGCTACATTGCTACAGGATGACCAAGAACCTGTTGATTCTTAGATATGGAAATATGTTGATTGCATTTCAAATTTAATCATCTTTTACACAAGAAGAAGTGAGCTAATCCAATTGTTCTTGAAAAATATTGACTATCATTTATTTTTCTTTGGCCTGAATAGAATTGATTAAAAGTAAAAGTCTTGTTTTATATGGACAGGATGAAATTTGACTGTAAGGCTCAATATTTCCCAGTCTGCATATGTGGAGTTGTACTATAATCAAAAAATAAAAGTCATGTCATTATTTTAATGCAGCACCTCACCAGCATTTCCTACTGTGTATAAGGCAGTTATATTGATATGCTGCATACCCAATTTAAATGGATCCATCACGTGAAGCAGACCTCCTGAAGATAGGTGAATGATTGGATTTTAGAATATTTTTCCAGAATATTTAAAAATAAAAGAAAACAATTTTATTATTTATCCCTTGTGTATTAGTCATTTTGGCTGGAAAGGTACATATTGCAAAATCAATTTAGGTAACACAATTCAAATCCATGCATGACAATGAGAGAATCTGAATTGAGTTTCTTTTTCAAATCTCGCAACTGTTGATTTGTTGTAAAATTCCAGGTGGTTTGCTTCTGCCCTTTCAGAAAGGAAACATGTCGTTCTTAGCCTTGGTCTGGCCTCTATGTAACTCTGGCCCCACATGGATGGCTTTAAACTGCCGTCCAAAATGATTTACTCAGTTGTCAGGGTAGTCAGGATGGGACAAAAGCAAAGTTGCTGGAAAAGCTCAGCAGGTTTGGCAGCATCTGTGAAGGAAAAAACAGAGTTAACGTTTCCGGTCCGGCGACCCTTCCTCAGAAGTGATGGTGGCTGGGAAAACGTCAGTTTATATGCAGAAAAAATGGAGCAGGTTGGGGTAGGGAGTAAACGAAAGGATAGAGCCTAAAGAGAGAGAAGAGCAGTTGGACAGACAAAGAGTTGCTAACGATCAGGCTGGGAGGGTGAATAGTTGTTAATGGGGACTATTAGTGACTAACAACAGGTGGTGTGTAATGGCAGGCTATGTGGTAACAAGGTCTGGTGTGTGGGGTAAGGGGCTGGGACGTGAGAGTATAGGCCCTAAAGTTGTTGAACTTGACATAGAGTCTGGAGGGCCGCATGGTCCCCAAGCGGAAAATGAGGTGCTGTTCCTCCAGCTTGTGTTGGGCTTCGCTGGAACACTGCAGCAAGCCAGAGACAGAGATGTTAGCCACAGAACAGAGTGGTGCGTTAAAGTGGCAGGCAATGGGTAGTTCAGGGTCTTTTTTTGTGAGCAGAACGTAGATGTTCTGCGAAGCAGTCACCCAGTCTACGCTTTGTTTCCCCAGTGTAGAGCAGACCACATTGTGAGCAATGAATGCAGTAGACCAGATTCTGGGAAGTGTAGGTGAAGTGTTGCTTCACCTGGAAGCTATTTTTGAGCCCTTGGATACTGGGGAGGGAGGAGGTAAATGGGCAGGTGTTGCACCTTCACCGGTTACAGAGGAAGGTGCCGTAGGGCTTTGAGGAGGTGCTGGGGGGGAAGGAAATATGGACCAGGATGTGGACCTGTTTCCTCTGGAAGGCAGACGAGGGAAGGGAAGGGAATATGTGTCTGGTGGTGGCATCTTGCTGCGGGTGGCGGAAATGGCACCTGTTGATCTGGATGTGGATGTTGGTGGAATGGTAGGTGAGGATAAGGGGAACCCTATCGCTGTTGCGGGAGAGAAGAGAAGGGGTGAGGGTGGAAGTGCGGGCGATGGGTCGGGCCTGGTTGAGGACCCTGTCCACAACGGAGCTGGGGAATCCTCGGTTGAGGACAAAGGTGGACATTTCGGAGGCTCTCTTGTCGAAGCTGGCCTCTTCTGAACATATGACGGAGACGGAGGAACTGAGAGAATGGGATGGAGTCTTTACAGGAAGTGGGGTGTGAGGATGTATAGTCCAGGTCGCTGTGGGAGTCGGTGGGTTTGTTGTGGTATTAGTGGCCAGTCTATCCCCAGAAATGATGAGGAAGGGAAGGGAGGAGTCAGAGATAGACCGGGTGAAAGTGAGGGCAGGGTGGAAATTGATGGAAGTTTTCCAATTCCAGATGAGAGAGGTAAGCAGCGTCAGGGCCAGAATAGGACTGCTTGCAAAAAAGACCTTTAACTACCGTTGCCTGCCACTTTAACGCACCATCCTGTTGCCAGGCCAACATGTCTGTCTCTGGCTTGATGCAGTGTTCAAGCGAAGCTCAACACAAGCTGGAAGAACAGCACCTCATTTTCCGCTTGGGGACCATGCAGCCCTCCGTAGTCCATATCGAGTTCAAATATTTTAGGGCATAAACTCTCTCGTGTCCCAGCCCCCTACCCCACACACCAGGCCTTGTTACCACAGAGCCTGCCATTACACCTGTTATTAGTCACTAATAGTCCCCGTTAACAACTATTCACCCTCCCAACTTGATCGTTATCAACTCTTTGTCTGTCCAACTGCTTTTCTCTCTCTTTGGGCTCAGTCCTATCGTTTACTCCCTATCACATCCCCCTCCCCTTTTTTCTGCATATAAACTGACATTTTTCCAGCCACCATCAGTTCTGAGGAGGGGTCGCCGGACTGAAAACGTTAACTCTATTTTTTCTTTCACAGATGATGCCAGACCTGCTGAGCTTTTCCAGCAGCTTTGTTTTTGTTCCTGATTTACAGCATCTGCAGTTGTATCGGTTTTTATTCAGTCGGGATAGGGAAATGAATGGTGATTGTTCCACTAATATCCACATCGTAAGATTGCATGGGAGTAAGTTGGCTGTACAGTATGCTAAATGTGGGAGTTTCATGTCAAGATCTGATGCTGGATTCTGTAGATGAAGATGAAATAGTCAAGAGACTCATCAAATGCAGATGCAACTGTGCTTGAGTTGGTAAGCTGCTTCTATCACCACTCTGGAGCCTCTGTCATGGACCCGTGCGCACATATCTGAACAAGTTAGAGGAAACTAATGCCTCCATTTCACGGCAGCTGCCAGAAGGGAACCGACAAATTGGAGCCCTTCAAGGCCCTCTAGGAAATCTCAGTCGCAGCAACTTAGCTGCAGGGCAGCCTGATTTCAAACAAAGACGTGCTGTCACAAATGTTCTTCCATGATCTCAGGACTTGTGAAACTACCTCCCGTTCAATGAAGCATTTCTGAAGTGCAACCAGAAGGATAGAGGGCTGAAAGTGGCAGAAATTGGCTTCAACGAGGAAGAAAATGGGTATAAAATGGCCATTTGTTCAGAATTCCATTCCCTGTGATGTCTCCAAAACACATTGGGAAGGTTCACCCCAATTTCAGAGATCTGGAAACCAACAAAATGAGACAATTTAGGGATATTGTCATGTGACAGATTCCCAGGGATGTGTTAAAGGTGGGTTTGAGGATGCTCAGGTGTGTGGTGGGATCCCATCTGTGCGTACCCCTGCCTAGACAGAATTTCACATTGGCCCCAGGCTTCTGTACTTCACCTGGGCACCTGTGCCCCATGACCTGAACTGCCTCCGAAGTATTTGTCACATGTCTTTTAGAGATGCAAAACAGCTGGTCATGTACAGACTGTTACTGCACACCATCCACCTCTTCTTCTTCACCCCCTGCCTTGGCATGCCCATTTACTACCGGGCAGTGGAGATCCCAAGTGGAGGGTTCTGTACATGGGAGTCCTCCCTCTTTCCCTCGGGGATGTGGGGTGGAGGGTGTTGCACGCAGCAGAACCTTGTAACCGCAGATTGCAGTGGTTCATGGACTCCCAGCCCAACTGTTTGTTTTGTGGCGCTGTGGAGTCTGTGGACCATGTGTATATTGGTTGTAGGCATTTGCGCTCGCTTTTAAGATACCTAAAGGACCTTCTCCTCTGCTTTTGGTTGCACTTTAGCCCCATGCTCCTGATCTTCAGGCACCCGGTGTGGACAGGTTAGAGGATTTCCTCGCGAGTCTGCTCCTGAGCCTGGCCAGGCTGGCTGCAAAACACGTCCATGCAGCAGGCCGTGGAGGGAGTCATTTCGGCCGAACGACTTCCTCTCTTCCGCAGCTATGTCCAATTCTGGGTATCCTTGGAGAGGGAGCACACGGTGTCTACCAATGCTCTCTGTGCCTTTAGGGAGAGGTGGGCACCATGGTGGGTGGAGTGCTTTATTTCACCCTCCAACTCTAATTTGATTTAATCCCTAACCTTCCCCTTCACGTTTTTCAGTAGGCGTTTCCCCTACCAGGCTCTGCTTGACACTGGGTCCCTGGCCACATGGGTATTTTTCCTGCTGGTGGAACATTGAATAAAATTATTTACACAAATGGTATTTTCACTGAGCCCCTACACACACACACACACACACACACACACACAGCATGGATGCTGCAGGGAAAAGTAAGCACTACTGCTGTATGGTAGTAGTGTGGAGGGTACAAAAAAGAAAAAAAAACTGGGGATTTAGAATCTCAGTTCAGGGGACTGATTTTAAAAAAATTAAAGGTGAGTTTGAATTTAACAGCATTGGAGTTGGAAAGCCAGGTTATTGTAAAAAAAAAAAAAAAATTTTTAAAAAAAGTCAAAGAACTGTGAATGCTGGAGATCTGAAACAGAAATTGCTGGAGAAACTCAGCAGTTCTGGCAGTATCTGTGGGAAGAAATCAGAGTCATTGTTTTGAGTCCGGTGACTCTTATTCACTTCTGCTCTACTTTCACCTCATAGATGCTGCCAGCCTTAGAGTTTCTCCAGTAATTTCTACCCTTGTTTAAAAAATCTTTACCTGTGTCAGTGGTGTTTGAGGTAACTGAACACTTTGTAATGTACAATCTGTTCTTGCACAGCACAGTGCCAAATCTACACATCAATTAGTGGATTAAACTGATGGGTTTCTAGAGACTTACTAAGAAGTGTGAATGTCACTTGCTTTATTTCATGGGAATGGGACTCAGCCATTCAGCCTATCAAGCCTGTCCTGACATTCAATAAATGATCAAGGCTGATCAACCACTTTAATGCCTTTTACCCACCCCATCTCCATAACCCAGTACTCCACTGGTAATCAGAAATCTATCAATCTCTACCTTCAACATGCTCGAAGACTGAACTTCCACAGCTGTCTGGAAGAGATTTCCATAAGTTCACAACACTGAGTTGAAAAAAAATCTCTCCTCATCCAGGCCTAAGTGGCATTGCCCTTATTTTTAATTTGTTCCCCTGATTCTGGACTCATCTGCATTCGCCCTATTTATCTCTTGAAATATTTTGTAACATTCCATGCAATCACCTCTTATTCTTCGAAACTCTTGAGAACGCAAGCCTGGGTTGCTCAACCTCCCTTTGTAGGACAGTCCCGCCATCCCGGGAACAAACCTAGTGAAGTTTCATTGCACTCTTTGGCAATAATATATTTCCTGAGATAAAAAGACCAATTCTGCAGACATTACTCTAGGTGCACTCCAACCAA